CTGTAGCTATGAATTTGCTAATACATACAAAGGATTTGCTGCTGTAGCTAATATAAAGACATGATAGCAAAATATGCATGTCTGTTACAGATCGATTTATTTAACAATATGAAGTTAGTTGTCAATTATCGGATATGTCTGTGTAAAAAAAATTGTCTCTACCACAGTTAAATATGATTTGCTGAAACTGTACTTGCTATCAAATTGTCTATTACACAGAAAACGTTTACTGCAATGATCAATACATCGACATAATAGCAAAATGCTTGTCTGTTACAATGATAATATTTAGGCCTCACAGCTAATGGAAATTAGACTTCGCAGATACGACGTTAGGTGTCCATATAATGCTACTGAATTTAGCTGCCATACCTAATTTTTAGCTGTGGCAGCTAACCTTTTTTTTCCATGCACAGAGACAAGTACACACGTTGACAAGTATAATACATTAGCATATAACGCGATGCATGAACGTCATTTAATATTGCATTCTATATCTGTAATTCCATTTTTATTACGTTATATTGATGTCTTCATTTGCTACATCTGTTTAATAAAAAAAGCTGATAAGAAGCTGACTTTATCCTGAAAAATTTAATATAAATCGCTTTAGAAACATTTTAAGTATTAATAAATTAAAGTATTATTTAAAATCTTTCTGGCACTATACAATCGAGATTTTATTCATGACATTGATCAATAACGGTCCATTCGCTGCATTGCATAGCAACGTAGCAATCTTGGATCAAGCCGCGAAAAACAGAAATAGCAGAATGTAGGAATGCAGGCGGATCTTAAAAGGGTCACGATCCCTTCCGACTGTCGACTATGCGCCTCTGAATCTTCGACGGAGAGAGGAAAAAGGAATTTTTCCAGATACTTTCGCGGGAAGAAGACGCCTCTCGTTCTGCTCGACTGCGAGAAGACCTACACTAGCGATGCTTGCCGCCATAGAGAACGAGAGGAACGATCGTTAAAAGCCGTCGTCATCTTAGCGTCTTCGTCCTCAGGGAAGATTTTCTAGCGTGCTGCAAAAGCTGTGAGATAGTTGAGATGAAATTGCATCAGTTGATTCAATATTATACCAGAGCGATAGAAGTTTAATGAAAGAGATAGTTTCAAATAATTAATCTTTAAGTTTTATTTAATGTTATAGAATATTTAAGAAATATTTAAGAAGTGATTCATTTGACAATTTTAAGATTTGCTTACACAGTTGGAAAATTTGTATGGGATTTAACACATTTTATGCGTCTTAAACGATCTACCAAAACTTTTTGTATTAATTGAATGTAAAATGAATATGTTAGAAAATAACGTAAATATTATTATGTGAAAAAAAACATAAAAAATAATACTGACATAATTTGTAAGCAATAAGTAATTTGAGGAAGCGTATTTCTTCAGTAAAGTTAATATTTAAATGTTAAATAACATATTTTATTTATTTATCTTAAAATTTACGTGTTAAAAAATGTTATTTGTTCACTTACTTATAAATTGTATTATTTAACATTGAGAAATGTTGAATATTAATTTAACACAAAATATTCAAATAACACAATCGTATTATGTTAAATTAACACTCGGATATGTTAAAAATTTGACACAAAAAATTTTACAAGGATCGATTTTAACACAAATACAAAATATTTTACTGTATAATATTTTATTCAGATTTCAATATTTAACTAAGATTTTTCTTGTTTATTGCGATTGCAGTATTGAGTAAGCTAATTTAATTAATATTTCCCTAAAAAAAAAAAAAAAATCAAATTGATAAGCCAAGATACAATTTCAGGATTATTTAATATGTTTGATAGCTATAATTTTGGTGCAATCTGGTTTAAGGGGAGGTAGGTAAGATTGAAAATGAAAAGAAAAGGAAGAGTATAATAAAGCGTCTGAGCGAACGATTAATTGTCGAAATAACTGCAGACACGAGGAATCGTTTAAGCTGACGTTCCGAGACATTGTTTGGCGCGGATACACCCGGTTGGAACGCGTGTCTCCGGACACGCGGGACATAATATACGGGGACAGTTACGGTCCTTGGTCCGACGTATATTATGTCTCGTGTAAGTGCACCGCTCTAGACGTCCATCGCGTTACGCCCTACGTGAACGTGCGCGAGAAATTCGTTTCGTGAAAAATGAACCGGTTTGTCCTAAGTTAACCGACGATTCTCTCGATACCTAATCATTACGGTGCATTCTTGTTCATTAAGAATTGGGAATTCTATTAATATTTGAATTTTTGACATTTGAATTTCTTAATACATTTTGCATATATGAATTTCTAGCAATAAACTGCATTTTAATAAATCCATTATGAATTGATTTTTCTATTGGTTCACTGCATAGTGTATTGCGACATGGTGCATGTAAATATTTTAAATTGATTTTTAATTTTATACTAGCCCTTTAATTTTATATCGTTGTAGATAGAGGTAAATAAGGGAATTCTATTCTCACTTAAATATGAAGGGCGCTTTTTTCTAACAGCACTTTCATTCGAAATTCTCCGTCAACCGAGATTTTATTTTTGCTTTTTTCTACACGCAAAGCGAGACATGGCTGATTTATTCCTTCGTTAGAATCATTCGTACGATAAATAAAATCCGCAGGGAAAGGATGCGCAGTACAGGCGAGAAGCGACGAGTCCGTCACGGTTCGTCGCGATCTACGCGTGGTATTACGCGCGAATGCGTGCGGTGGTTTCACGCCTGTCACGTAGACGACGTTTAAATCGAGCGCAGAAAAACGCGACCCGCTTCGCAGCCTCGGTCCGGCGCGGCGTGTCGGAATTTTTCTCTCGCAACGCCTATTTTTCGTCGACTCTACGTGAAATGACTCATTATCGTCGTCGTCCAAAATAAACTTTTGTGTATTTCAGTTCTCCAGGCATATTTTCCATATAGTTGGAAAATTTCTGTTAAATTTAATTTTTCCCAAGCAATCTACTTAAAATTTTGTGGAGTTACGAAACATTTATTAGGACACTATTTACAAAAATGCGGTAACACTGCATAATGGTTCGAAGAGAAATAGAGAGGGGTGGTAATATGGCCTTTCACAAAAATATATTTAAAAAATTGATTTTGTTTAAAGAATAGTATTTGGTTATAAAATTAACAGAAAAGTAAAATACTGTAGTGTATGTATTCAAATTGTGCAAATGTATGTAGGTATACATAACTCCTTCCGTGTATACCATAAACTGCTCAGTACTAAAAATCTATATATTGTACATGTAATATAAACTACAGATTAACAGTAGAGTTACAATCAACTTATGAAATAATTATTTAGATATGAAAATCTCAAAAGAGGCCGTTAGCAATCAGCACGTTTAGAGAGCTACATTAATAAAATGCCGTACTATCGTTTAACTTGTATAACTTCAAATGTATACAGCCAAATGTTAAATAACAAAGAACGTACTTAAACATACATATAATATATTCGTGTGACAATAGAAGAATGAGAAACCAATGTGTAATTAAATGCTAAAATGTACTTTAAAAACGTTTCAAAATGCTTGAAAGTAAAAATGCTGACCATTGTGTATTGACATATTAAAGTCATGATATAACGGCGAGCTATTAAATAAATAATTTCATAAGTAATCACTAGAATTCGCCACTTAATAGCGGAGATATTAAGAGGGGCCATTATCTACACTGGCCATAATACTACTTCTCCTTACTTTTCCACTTATATTGTTTATGAGCTATAAAAAGCTATCGAGGAAATGCCAATCGATGTATCAGTTTAAATTTTTTAGGTTCCGTCTGGCAAATTAAATAATATCAAAAGTGTATAATATTTTTATGACGTTTCATGCGAAACGATGGAAGTGAATCGCTTTTCTGCTGGCAAAAAAGTGACAGAAAGTGATGAACGAGAGAAACCGCGTTTTCGGTACCAATCACAGGAGTAAAAATGGATTTCGCTAATTGCGCCCTCGGCTTTAAATATTTTGACGTACCCGAAATTTGGCCGCTTGCGTGTTACCAGACGCCACGCCAACGAGTCGTGCAAATATTTACGACCGTCTCTCCCTCGCGAATCTCTTCGGGTGCTTCACCGTCGTTACGCGCGTTACGGGGAGGGAGAATCCATTTTTTCCGTATTAAAATAAAATTAAACGAAGCTCCATGACGAGAGAAGAATGGCCCGCATGAAAAATCACCGTCCACCTTTTCGCGAAGAAAGGATATTACAGATGTTACGTTTCTTCTTGCTGGAATCGTAAATCTTTCTGCGCCGCCGTTGAGTTTCGCCGTGAGGTTTTACGAGACACCAACTGGCTGCTCTCTCATCGAGGCCGACAATTTTCTCCGATTTCCCGTATGTTATGGGACACGATATTTATTTTTGCATCACCAAACGCGCAGGGTAGATGCATCAGTGAATAATTGATTGACTTTTAGCAGAGACGCATACAACTTTGAGACATGCAACATTTATTTTACATTGTTATCTGGTTAACTTTATAATTCATTATAATATTTTATTCATGTATATAACCGTCACCTGGGATATTTATTATTACTTAGACTATAACAGAAGTTTTCTCCTACACCGAAAGTCTTTCGCGCTGATAATCTCCCAAGCGACATCGAGACTAACTTTTACGATCGACACATCGCCAATATCCGTTGGTTTCCCAATAAAACTATACTCGCGCGCGATCTCATCCGTGTCAATTAGGAGCTAATTGATTTCGAGCGCATTAGAGATTTCGAGTGTAAATCTCTAGTGCACAGTAGGATTTTTCGACGACGTTACCGCTTCGATCGGGATTGCGGTTGCGACGAGGCTACAAGCAGAGCTTGCAGGCGAAAGCAGTTGTTCCCACTAAATTTACGACAACGAGAGGGCTAACCCTCCTTTCTTACACGGTGCACGGTGCTCCTCACTCGCACTGCTTCGTTTCTCTGCCGTTAATGAGTCGCTATCGTACGGCGCCATATGTTTCCTCGACGATACTGTTTATTTTTTTTTTTAAGGCGAAGAAGGGGCGGAGAGCTTTTATACCGGCCGTATCCCTTTCGCTGGTATTCCGAATCCGCGTGTAAAATGTAACTTAACCGCTTTACTACATGCATCCGCGACCATGGCCGGGTCGCCATTAAATGTCCGATATTTTCGGTTTATGTCATATTCATGCATTGACAATAGATGGATGTACAGTGGAAAATTTCATTGGCGCGCGAAATATAGATAAACAAACAGATATTCGCTGGATATTGGTGATGATGGCAAATCGATCATTGGATTGATGCAAACACACTTATTGTTCGACGAGGGCAGCGAGATTACTCCACAAAAAGTTTCATCAGTATACTGTTAATAATATATGAAATTGCCACCGTTACGTCACCATCATTTCCTTACTGCATTGTCCGTTTTTTATTGACTGTTTCCTGAGGATCTACTGTCCGCCGTGTTCCTTTTACTGCGCAAGAAAAGATGTTCGGTTATTTATTTTTTCAAATATTTTGTTATTATTATTATTATTATTATACGGAGAAAAATGTTTTGTTGAATTAACTGGAATTCTGATGGAAAATGTGCAATCCAAAATTCTGGTTAAGTCTACTAAATTTCTAGTAGATTTAATCAGAAAATTCTAAATTGGTTTTTTTTTCAACTAAAATTTTAGTAGATAATTATATATTAATATTAACCATAAATCTAATAGATTTAATCAGAATTCTGGATTGTTCATTTTCCATTATAGAATTCCAGTTAATTCAACCAAACATTTTTCTCCGTATAAGTAACATATGGCTGCGAATTTTGATCTAAAAAAATCCATAGGATCACAAATTACATTACTCTCTACATTTTTGGAGTAAAATTTCACTTGAAAAATGGAACGACCGAATCATTCAAGTTACTTCCCATTCATATCGAATGTAATTTTCCATTGTGTATAATGAAATAAATATTTTCACTCGTAAACAAATAAGAAATAAAAAGCCTGAATCTTTAGACTGGATCTTTAGTGCTTCTTACTCGTAATTAAAAAGTGAATCCGACATGTACGTCACTATAATTGTTAAAAATAATGCATGCACCAAACAAGAAATTCGATAAGTAAGTCGATAAATTGTTAACAAAAATCTACGTATTATGTTTAAATATTTTTTTTTTTTTTTTAGTTAAATCTCTTGATCTCATATTGAAATTATCTTAACTGACGTTTCGCTCCAAACAAATGAAACATTCGCTAGTTGAAGTTAAATACCAAATAGTCAACCTTATAAAAAGTAAAATGTCACTTCATTCTGAAAAGCAATATTTTCACCATTGATTAAAATAAATTTTCACTTATTTTAAGTAAAACTTCACTCTGAAAAATTTATACAGTACGTACTGCAGATCAGATGTGCTAAACAGATTAATTCTGAACCGCAATTATCATCGTTCTTGCAGAAGTTGCTTCTTTCTTCATTTTTTACCTCGATGATTTCCCTTCTTCGTCTGTCTGGGAGGTGTAGAGCAACGATTTCTGATTCGCTCTTAGAAAACATAAAAAATGTTAATATTATTGCAGGATAATCGTAGGAGTATACACGGAGAGAATTTTTCGTTATATTTTATCGCAAAATTTGTTACAAATTCTACCCTTTGAATAGAAAATAATTTGGCAACCTATTAAATATCAATAATATAAAGGAATTTTTGAAGTATACAAAAGACATTTTATAAACTGTATAATAGAAATTATCAAGTAGATTGTAAATTATTCTAAGACAAAATATTTACATAAATAAATGGAAAGAACCATATGAAAGCAAGATATATATTCGACGAAATCGATGAAAATTCTCTCCTTGTATCAAATTCAGAAATGTAATATTAACACGTTAGTGAATAATAATTTTAGAAGAATTGCAACAAATATGGAGAAGAATGATGTGTGCGAAATCACGTGATACGTTTACTTACGGAATCTTTGCTGGAGTCGTCCAATTCGATCACCTGAATGTCCGGATTTTCCTAAGACGGAACGACCAAGTGAGATTAGCACATAATCACGGTTTAACACTATAGTTTGCACTACGCGTCTGCACGGCAAGATTAAGTTGATTCTCCGTACCTTCGTATCCTGAATGATACATGATTCGGCCGAAACGGTCGAGAATATTAACAACACGAAGAAAAGAAGTCGGAACATGCTGGGCGATGCGTTTAACAAAATTGCGACGGTACGCGATTCGTGAGCGTTCTTTATACCGGATCCCAAAGCGCTGGTTGCGACATCGTTCCATCAGTGCGTTCTTATCGAAGCGTCGTTAAAGTGCACGGAAAATGAGTAGTTAAATGCTTCTCTTAACTCAACCGGAAATTACACAAACGTGGATGATTTCCGTCGCCAAGTATCCGTGGGATTTGCAGCTCATTTTCGCGTTTATTTATCTAAATTAGAAAAAAGAGAAGCACATCATAAAGTACGTTGACGTCGTGCAATTTCCTTGAGTAAAAATAGGTCTCTGTTATCTTGAGTCTACGACCGTTCTAAAATGTTCCAATTGATCTTATCAACGATAAATGTTTTAATTTAATTAACAGAAACGTTTTTTTACTGATAGTTACTCGAAATAACATTAGTGTTTACTGCAATGTTACTGTATAATGGTAATAAAAATATATCTTATCGATTATATTTCGAAACGTTACGATCGTGTTGCTTGTAGGCCAGCGATGTCTACGTATCCTTATTCGATTTTGTAGTATTCCCTTAAGCGATATACATTTTCAGTCTTTCCTCGGGTTCTCAAGAGACAGAGAGGATACTTACTGTGCATTTTCCGCGGAATACCGCGCTACCTTCCGTAAAATAAGAAATATGAGACGCACTCGTTTTCCAATGCTCGAGGAGGTTCCCACGAGTGCAGTATGCATTTTCGCGTTCTCTAGCGCGGCTGAGTGAGACAATACGACGGTGACTTTTCATCGAAGATCGACTTTAATGACCGACGAGCTCGACGAGTCAGTCGCGATCAAAGACCGTTACCTTTTATTTTCGACAGAAAACGCGCGCGGAAGAAGAAGAGCTGGAATTACGGACATCAGGATTACAACCTTTAATCAGCCACGCGCTATTAATACACTTTGTTACGGGGTACGTTGCGGTTGTTGCAGAATAAAAAGAGGGGAAACCAGTGCGGAAAATTCCGCGAAAGAGTAAAAATTGTATCGCATGCTGAAGTGTCGGTCCTTCCGTGTTCCTTAGATCCGCGTCCGAATGATTATCGCTCAGCCATTAACACTTTAACTCGTGCCGTTCGCTTATTACGCGAATAATCAAAGATGTTTTCAACCGTCGGCGAAATGGCCACATTAGGAAATTGCACGCTCGGCATCGCGCATATCGTTATTTTTGCTGCCTCGTTATCTGTCTTTGAGAGAGCTCTTTCATTCGTGTCGATATATTCACGTATGCTTGCTGCATAAATTCGTTTGCCTTCACGTATTTGCTTCGGACGTGAGATTATTAATATCTTGTTCTTGTGGCGTCATTAATTCAGAAACAGAATATCATAGGAAAAGATTTATTGTTACGTTTTTCGCATAAAATGAGCTTTCCTAATGTGCGTAATTTAATTTGAGTAATAATAATGAAATTATATTATAGAATTTAAAAATTATATGACAAAAATATATACTGAGAATAAATGGCTTGCGGTCAAGCTGGATCTTAAGTAACTTATTATTAAAAAAGTTGGATAAAAAAGTATTTTTGTGAAAAAAAATAATAAAGAAAATTAGAAATTCAGAGAAAGCGAAAAGCTATATTGCAAAACTTTTTAAAGAAAATATTACGTTATTTATCAAGTGTGTCTTTTACCATTACACTGCATATACTCTCGGGTGGGTTAATTCTTAACACAACGTACTTAACAGCGAGGGAAGTGCAGCTGTTTACATAGCACCGTCACTACTGTTAGCGAAGTTGTCGCGTGAAGGAGTCCAAATTAGACGGGTGGCAGAGTCCTCCACGGTCCGTCGACGTGACCGGAAGTCCTTTGTTCGCCTTTGTTGATTGCCGAACAACGTGGAAACTACTCATTAGCTTAGCAAATAATACTCTACCAAGTACCTAACTTCTAACTAAACACTTGATCACCATCAACAGCACCATATTTCATATCTTTATTATTTCAATTTTACTATAGTCTCAGTATCACTATAGTCAGTATTTGTTTCATCTTTGCGATAATTTATATTAAAAGGTTAATTATCGTTATTTTATCAATATTATCATAAATGTAAGAACATAAAAATTAAAAATAGTATAATATGCTGCACATAAAAATCGGTCCAATTATTGAATTTGCACCATTCTGATATTATTGCTGGAAGAAAAGTGTTTGGTATTCATAATTATAATTGGTAAAATAGTTACGATTAGGAGCTCTGCTATTATAGTTATTACTGCTATAATATTAGTATATTTATTATATTTATAGTTCTATTAAAAAATAATAATCTCATTTTTAGACCGTGTATGTAAGAAACACAATCGATAAATTAGAGCCCTATATCGGTCGAAGCTAGATCTTAAATGCTTACATAATTCAATCTTGAATCACTAATATGATATATATGTACTTGACATATGTATATACCACACTTGTAGTCTAACAAACTGCGCGCCGAAATATTCCCGGACTAAACCACTGTAGTAATTTCGCGAATTAAATTAAATTCTAATAATTTCGATGCTCAAACAGGCATCATACTTCAAAGATGTTAATATGCTGCAAAAAATCAAGATTGAATTATTTAAGCATTTAAGATCTAGCTTCGACCGATATAAGGCTCTAATTTATCGATTGTGTTTCTCATATATACGGTCTAATAATGAGATTATTATTGTTTATTATGTCGCCCGAAAAAGACGTTGTTTCCTTACATATATCGATTATTGCGAAGAATATTACTAAGGCCTCGGTAGTCTAATGGCTTAGGACGTTCGTATGGAATACAAGAGATTCAGGTTCGACTCCCGGCCGAGATAATATTTTTCGCAATAAATTTAATAACAGTTTTTTCAGCATATTAACATCTTTAAAATATGATGCTTGTGTGAGCATCGAAATTATTACAATTTAATTTAATTCACGAAATTACTACAGTGGTTTAATTGCGTTTAGTCCGGGAATATTTCGGCGCGCAATTTGTTAGACTACAAGTGTGATATATATGTCAAGTATATATGTATATATCATATTTAGTGATTCAAGATTGAATTATTTAAGCATTTATAAGATCTAGCTTCGACCGATATAGGGTTCTAATTTATCGATTCTATTAAAAAATATTCAGTTAACACTAAAAATGGCTATAAATTATATAGTTAATAGCAGCTTTTTTTCTTTCTGTATAGGATTCTAATGCATAAAAAGTAAGCAAACTGTAATCGGATAAACCGTTTAGATCAGTCATACACTCGACCACAAAAACTTAAATATGAAAAATATATAATTCTAATATATGAAAATTCTACTATCTCTTATTATCACAATGCTGTTTCTGGTAGTATAAAGATAAATTCTAAATGAATAAACAATGTTAAAACTCGTGAATGTCAATCTACCGATCTACTTTATTTGTACACGAGCGAGGGACGAGACGTTCGACAAAAGAACCTAGCTTGTTCGAGTTGCTGACTGCTTTGGGAAAACAAATTGGAAATAGTTCAGAAGAACAAAAGCAAACAGAGCTGCGGGCTTTTCTTGGCGCTCGTTGACTCTGCGGAAAGAAATGCGCGGACCAAATTAGTTGGAACAGTCACAGTCCAGACGACAGGTTGTGAATGATGAATGAATGCTGTAGTAGGTAATACCTCCGGAAAGGTAATTTTGAACTTTTCCTCGGTAAACGGAAAGTCTAGACACCCGTTTGTGAGAATAGTATAAACACAAATCTCATAAACTTCACGATACAGAATTAACAGTAAGTACTCGGGAGAGAATAGACTATACAAGCTTTCTACTGCTCTGTCACGAATACGTTTAATAATGCTAATTCAAGTAATTATAGTAATAACTAGCGATGTACCTTTTCAACTAAAAGACTGCCCGAAGCACGCGCTACGTATTTATTTTATATAAGATTGTTTGCAATTCTTAACATAATTTTCTGTATTTCTTTTTATCTTTTGACATTTCATTACTTTAAAGATGATCTTGGTAAAGTTTTGATTAATTGCTATAATTAAACAAATAAGATAAATGATAAATGAAACAAAAGCAATATTTTCTCATTGTTTTTAATCCTAGACATTTAATTTATGAACATTAGACTTTAGATTTTTAAACAATTATAACATCGAAATTATTAATGATTTACATTACTGTAAAAAATCTTGAGAATTTTAATTCTTTCTCTTACAAAAATTCTTTCAAAAATTTAAAAGAATGTGCATTCGCTTTTCAGTCTACTCATTTATAGTTTCTAAAGCTCTTGCTAATTTTGTTAATCACAGAAGAATGTTTCTGTGAAAGAATAATAAAAAAGCTGAAGCAACGATCTGTTTCGTTGTCGCGTTAAACGGTTGACATTGCACACGAAAGTAAATGCGAGAAAAACGCAGATTCGCCGGGATCGTTTGTATATTTAGACATGCTTCTAACACACAACGTCGCCTCTTTCTCAGCTCTCCGCTGCCTCTTTCTCATTTTTCAACCTTCAATTACCGAGTATATCTCTCAAGAAAATCTAAACAGGTCGATAATGATATTAATTTCCAATTTCACACCCTTTCACATTTTTCTTAGATTCCATAGACTTTTGCGGTTGAGTGTATGTCCAATCTAAATCGGTTCATCCGATTACCGTTCGGACAAGCGGATTACTTTTTACGGATATCACATTTTTCACTTTGCGAAAAGCAAAAAATTATTTAACGCCAGTCGCAGATCGTGCTCGAATGTGTGCATGTGCCCACGAACGGGCGAGTGGATACAACACACGGACGTTATATTCTCGAGCGCGACGTGCTCATGCAGTATTCATTCGAAAGCGTTTAATAACCAATACCGTCGGCGAGCGGAATGTAATATTTTTTTATATACCCGTATATAAAAAAGAGAAAGATAAAAAACCGATGAAAATCCGATATATCGGCGTGAGGTGCGCGCAGGCTCCATGAACGCGTCACGATTTGTTTTTATAGATTT